TATGATAATGCTTTGAGAAAAGAGAACAGAATAGGAAAGAATGAAGAAAACTGCAATGCAAAGAATGGAGGAGAAATAACAAAGTAGGAAGAGATAAGAACGGTAAAGGAAAGGAGAAGAAAATGGAATAGGATGAAAAAAACTTAAGAAAAGACAAAATTTATCAAATTAGAAGAGCAAGAAAAAGCACATCTGATGTTAAGTAATAGCAAATATTATTGAGCAAAACTTGTAAGTGATAGGGCCAGGGATTTAGCTCAGTGGTTCCACCGACTGCCTCACAAGTGCAAGGACCCAAGTTCGATCCCCGGTAACAAAACAAAAACAAAAAAACTTGTAGGTGATGGCAGAGAGGGTAGAGGGAAGGGATGAAGCTCCACTCAATGTGCCAGCCATTTCTGCTGAAATCCAGGGAAGGGTTTATAGAATAACAGTGAGAGAAAAGGAGGGATGAACTGTAATGGGTCTCCACACTCTGAACCATTGTGATTTTGTTGGCTTTCCCTTTGAATAGTACTCTCCTGCAGTTCTAGGGTGGAAACAAAAAGATGAGAATTACAAGGTTAGAGCCAGAATAAGAAAAAATGAGAGGGAGAGAGAGAGAGAGAGAGAGAGAGAGAGAGAGAGAGACAGAGACAGAGACATAGGAATGAAGTTGGAATTAAATTTACATGTGACCCAAAGGTATTTTAGTCTGTTCCCTTTCCTCTATCCTCTCTGCCATCACTTAGAAATTTTGCTGAATAATGTTTACTATTGTGAGAATACAAACACCACTAGCTTAATCTGTCACTAATCAATGTTCAACATCTTATTTTTGCAAGTCTACCTTATTCTTGACTACCCCAACCAGGTAATTTGCCACTTCAGTAGCCTTTATGGCCAAATCTATTGAATGATTTCTTGCCATAACAGGTACCAGGTTCCAGAAGACATTTAAAAATAGCAATGGACATGTTTTAATATTAACACAAATAAAAATTTTCCAGATACTGGATTCAACCATCATATACGTCACTTTTCAACTGATATTCCTAAGAAGAAAGTATTTTAGTATGGATACTATAACTTCAGAACACTTACACACCCAAACCCGTATTATTATGAAATTCAACAGATTTATTAGGAATATGGCAAAATGTATTTTAATAACTATAGTCTCATCAGCTAAAAAGTATTAAAAGTGCATCATGAGGGCAGAGTTGCTGGTTCAAACTATGCCGAGGTATCTCCCAGGGAGAGGGATGTAGTGGCAGATGAAGTAGAAAAAATCCTGGGAGATTCCGGCAGCTTTTCAGGAGTGGATCTTCCATGGCAGGGAACACATGCAATAAGACCCAGTCTGCTTTGCTTGGATGTTCATGATTTTTTTTTTCTTCTTTCTACCTGGCAGCCACAGCTTCTCAGCCACAGAAGTATGTTGATTTGAAAGCTTAAAGCCACTTATAATAAAGGATATAGTAACACAAAAAGGACATATAACCTTCAGTTTCATTTAAGAATTTTTAAAAGAGTAAACTAAAAATACATCTTGAAAATATATCACACTATTAATTTAAAAAGACTTAAATTATTTGTGATTCATCAAATTCAGACTCTAAGCAAAAAAATTTTTGAATTGTTTTTCTGTATATCTCAAAGAAAAATTATCAGATTTTATATTGTAGATTAATAGTTGTAGTAAAAAAGCTTTGAATTACAGAAAAGTACTACTGGTCAGTATCATTAAAAACAGTAAGATTTAACAATGTTTTTTCTTTTCATTGTTGAGTCTAAATTGTTATAATACTTCACTCTTCTGGTCAATTAATTAATGTAACAGAAAATATTAATTATATTTTTCAAATATTTTAGGTCATACTTTAATGCAACATCATAATCAACCCCTAATGTCCATTGTAATGAATGTAGGGATAGAAGAGACAACTGCGGACTATAAGTAATATATAATTGGTTCAATTAATTTACCTACCTACCAATCCTTTAATGGAATAAAACAAGAAAATTTTCATTTCACCACCTCTGTATTTTGTTTAGTAAAAAGTTAAAAGCAATGTACAGACCCCATCACAGGAAACAATAAGAAAAAGAGGGCAGAGCATATTGCATTAAATACAATGTATCATTTTTGCACAAATATGCCACTCAGTTGAACAGCTATTGCATTAAACACAATGTATCATTCTTGCACAAATATGCATCTTACTTGAACACAAAGAAAAACATCTAGCAGTTGATCACATTATTAAAGAAGGCTATTTTAATGAAATTTGACACATTTTCTTGTTCTGTTATAACCCAAAACCAGTTTGTTAGCTCTAGTAGCAATCTGTCAAGAAACAGCACTCCAAATGGTTTGAGTGTTGTAATGGGCAAAAGGGAAGAAGGCAGATTAAAAGAGCTAATTATTACCGAGGCCCTAATATGTACTGGCATTTGTGGTAAGTTTTTTACATATTTTATTCATCTGAGGGCAAGAAAACCAGTGAAGAAAAGGCAAAAAGTTAAATTTCAACACTATTTCTAATTTCAGTTCAGCTGATTCCCTATCCCAGTTATGCAAATTATTACTTCCTTTCTTCTACTCTTCTACTGGCCCACTAATATTTCCATGGGCCTTGAGAGATTGTCTGGAGGTTCTAGCAGGGGAGCGCAGCTACTCATATACCCTTGACAAAGAAGCAGTCCTCCTCCACCAGGGGTGGTCCTTCCCCTCAACTGAGCTTTCAGCTTTGGGAGAGACATACATGGAGAGGTGAGGGAGGAAAGGGACACCGGTCCATACAGCCAGATCAGCCAAATCAACCCTGGAGATCAATGAGGTGACAGATGTCACAGTCAGATCACTCTCACATCCACCAATTTCTCAATGAATCCTGAGATTTATTCAAATTCTTATCAGTATTCTTTTCCTTTTGCCTGATAATTTTTTAATTTTAATTTAGAAAATTCTAAAAATCTGAAGAATACAGATCTTCGAGTCAGAAAACTTTGACTTGCAGATAAATTAAGTTCTGAGTTTCAATTTCAACACATACCTTCTTTGTAGGATAAGCAAATGAAATAAAATATGTTTAATACTTTATACAATACTCAGCAAACTGTAAGAACAGAGTGTAACTATGGTTATTATTAAAAAAGGAAGCTGATTCTCATACAGTTAACATGACCCACTTAAAACCATAAGATACAGTAATTTCACAGCAAAAACTGGAACCAAGTTTCCCTAATCATGATTTTGTATAGTTTTCAACATTTTAGAATATTCCTGTGATGAAAAGATGTATTTTTACATTACTGCAGTATTTAAATGTCATCACCCCATATAGATTTCATTAATTCATTTGTAGACTTTTAAAGACTTTTATATTCACCTGACAAACAGAATTTTTTTTCCTAAAAAGAGTATCCAGAAAGCAATTTTATATTTCAGTGCAGACTGATTTCTACCATCTTAGAATTGATGAAGTAGAAATTCATGCAGAAACTATTCAACAGAAGTCATATTTGTTAAGGTCTCACTACAGAAATGGAGCCAATATGAACATTGGAAGATGAAAAAGCTGCACATCTACTAAAGTAGCTACTTCATCCTACCTGCCCAAATCTTCATTCTATGGGAGAAGAAACTTTGTTTTGGGCAACTACTTTGTACACTTTCTAGTAATAAGAACAGAAAGTCCCCAAAACTGTTGTAGGATGAAAAGGCTATATACTAATAGTTTATTATTCGTTGCTCACCATATACAGATGCATTTAATTTTTTAAAATTTCAGCAACTTTTACTTCATTTAGATAACAAATTTATTGAAGAAACATTATGGTTTTAATTACCAGTGCCTAACAGCCTTTGTAAAATATCATTGGGAAGAAGTTTTTTTCCACAAAGTGTCTTCTATCACTAGGACATGGAGAAGCAAATTTAGTTAAGTAGTTTAACAGGAAATGCTTGTGTTGAAGAGTTCATACACCATAACTACATGTTTATTACAAAATCCCATTTTTTCAGATGAAGAATATTATAACTAGCTTCATTTTAAAGGACAATACACTTTATTTTGGCAAAGAAAATGGAACAAAGTGAATCAACTCAAAAAAAGTAAAAAATGAAGACCATATAATGTTCCTTTTCAGCATCTAAGATTAATAAGACTATCATAGTCACAGAATGTCATTATCATTCATGGCTTGTTAATGGATTTGTGAGGTTCACAGGGCAAGAATAATTCATGAAGTTATTTAGTTAAGTGCAATCATTTTAAAACTAAATGGAAAAAAACAAAACAAAAAAAAACCCCAAAAATCTGAAACTGTAGTTCCCTTTTGGAAAATGAAGAACCAATTAAGATTGTAAATAGGGAAGGGTAAAGAAGGTGAAGGGAGGGCAGGGGTATGGGGAAAAATAAGAACAAAGATATATCATGTAAAGGTATAAGATCCCAATGATAAATGTAACTTTATTGTTTGCTTTAAATGTATCAATAAACTTAATGGAAAAAAAGAACCAATTAAGATACTGAAGACTAAAAGTTTTATAAAACTCTGCATTTAAAATAAATAGCAAAAATCTACCACACTTTACTGAACAAATCAATGTTAAAGTAGATAAACAGATGCAAGCTGTTATAAAACACAGCTACAATTCAATAATTCATAAAAATAAAACTTCTAGACATTATACTAGAAAAGACTGAATTTATATGCATCATCACTTTAATTTTTATTCCAAAATTGTTATGTCAATTCATGGAATGTATGATGTTACCCTGGTACCTGTCCATAAAATCTAACTTAAATCACCACTAATGTTTCCAGATTTCTTCTTAAATCTATGCCTTACGTTCCATCAAATTCAGAATAATCAGATATTCAATTGTTTTTAAAAGGCATTTTAATTAGTTGCATACAAAGAGGCATCTCATTTCATTGGAATTTTTTTAAAGCTTTAGCAAATCTTTAAATTAGTTCCTCCCACTGACTCTTAAGGTAATTATACATACCACAGTCTGATGATTAACTTGAATCACTTCATCGCCAGCATGGATTTTCTTGCATCGATCTGCAGGTGACTGAGTTTAACATGAAAAAAATGATAAAAAAATTCCTTAAATTTATCAGTTATTTATTCTTTCTGGAGACATTACAAAAGGTTCATCTCCTTAAATTAGATTTTAAAACGAAATTATAGGGCTAGGGATGTGCATCACTGATTGAGTGCTTGCCGAGCATGTGAGAAGCCCTCAGTTTGATCCCTTGCACCATACACCCAAAAAATTATGCAAGTAATCTTTATGGAATTAAACTCACAGTAATGGTTACTCCTACTTAATGTAGTGTTTGCATTATATGTATAGCTAATGATAGAAAACAGAAATTCAAAAATAATATTTAGGTTGTAAAAGAATAATATGTTTTTGAAAACATTAAGGAAAAGATAACTGGTATTAACCATTGAAATTTTACACAGAAAATCCTGCTAGGCTCTACTGGGCAACTACCTTAAAATATGTTTAATTTTTTTACTTTGACCTTTGTATTTAATATAAATCATATTAACTTTAGCAAATCAGTATTTTCAAGTACATGTGTATGTATGATCAGCATTAAAACCTTGCAATCTGATAATTAAATTACTAATTTATTTCACCATTAACAACACCAATTTAGAATAACCTAGAAAAGCAAATTAAAAGATGTAAAGAAATTAGCTCAAAGTTTAATTATGTAACATTTTCTCAAAGTGCAAGTTATAAGGGTATATAGTTTCTTATGTTTTAGACACTGTGTCAGCAAAAGTACATTAGACTAGAGTATGTTAACTAAAATGCCAACACTTATAAAGGATGTAATGATTTCATCACTTCTTTACTTTCATAAGAGATCCAAAACAGAAACAAAGATAAAACAATTTGATAATTTAACATTGATAAATTTTAAGAAAACTTAATTAGAAATTTTATTATTGTGTAGGTTTGGGTAGGTCTTTAATCTTAAATGTAAAATGATATTTTTTCTCTAGTGACTACTGATTATAGACTGTATGAATTTTTAGGCATCTTAATATCACAATAATATTTTCCATTTTGAATACATAGAAAATTTGCTTTTACTAAAAACATGTTTATCAAAACCAACTGTAAATGCTTTTACCCATTAGGATCTATTGAACACTAAGTGAGAACAATATGGAGATGGAATTTGCAAAATATGGTACTTTTAATAACCTAGAATATGATTTAATTTAAAAGTGCTATCTATCCAGTTACTTTATTTTTGGCTCATTTCCAATTTCCAATAATTTTGAAAACACAGAAATCCTGAAACCATATTAATTTCAACTTTTTAAAAACACAATAAAATTATTTGCTATAGGCTAATACTCAAGACAATATTACAAGGTGTTCCATTTACTGAGGCAATAACACAAAAATATTACTACTAAGGGGGCAGATTCAGCTAAGATGTGAACCCAACTCTAAAGAAAATAATACGTCTCATAGCACCTTTAGTTGACTGGCAAATAATCAATCAGATCACTATTGTGGAACAAATCTGAGAAGATTGTAAATCATTACCTTAATGGATATAACTATAATAAGTCACTGTGCTGTTTGATTCATAGCTGATCTTTTAAAGGAAAATATGGAAGAGAAATATCAAGCAAATGGCTTTAGTTATGATGTAAAAGAAAATGATGGGTGATACATAAAATTCAAAGAAAATTAAACAACTTTTTGCACAGATAAGTAAAACGGAGGTAAGTCATATAAACTATAGACTTTCAGTATTAAAAGGGATCCTAGAGATCAGTTTGCCCAAATACAATATTCATAAAAGAAAAAAAATAGACACTAGGGCATAGCAAAGCAAAATTTAACTTATCCACTTTAGCAAGGAATTTAATTAAAGACCCAATATACAGTTCTTTATTGTAAATGACTGATGGTAAAAATATAGTAAAATAATTTAAAGAAAAAAGAATCAAAGGATGAAATTTTAATATGATTCATATCTGAATTACTCCCAGAATCAATTTTTCTTTGCTCATTTATCCATTTATCCAATATTACTGAGTAATTAATATGAGCAAGGCATAGCGCTCAACTTTTTTTTTCTTTTTAACAGATCCCAGACAATATAGAGAGATCCATTCCTACCAGTTCTTCATGATACAGTTCAAAAATCATCATTTCTGTGATTTCTTCTCTGATTGCATATGGCAGCATTTACTACTTTTTCCTTTTTTCATCCAAGCAAACTCTGCTACCTGTATATACAGATGAACCCCTACTTCCTATCCGTATCTCAGGGAGAGCAGGTTAGTTTATTTCAAAAATACTTCAAGTGCCTAGTATCATGCCTGGAACATAGCAGACATGAAGCAGAGGTTTGTTAAACAAACATATGAATAAATGAGTGACTAAATGAATACACAAATAAATGAGAATGATTAATGACAAGAATATAGTTTGTGGTATTTTACTAAATTTAAAATTGTCAAATAGTTTACAATACGCATTTAACTATTTTTTATCTCATATTTAATACGAAATACAAAGCTGCTATAGCATTTCATCTACCATGTATATTATGTGTTTCACCTTCTATAAGAAATGAAGAGAAGCAGCGGGAAAAAAATCAGTAAAAGGTTAAAGTTAATAGGTGAATTAGATAAACAGAATGTTGATTTTAAAAAGAAAATGCTGATAAAATGTTGAGTTCAATAATAACTTGAGATTAAACTAATTCCACCTCAGTCTTCTTTAAAGATACACAGCATAAACATACCATTTGTCAGAATCTCTAAAAGAAAAAAATAAATTCAAAGCTCAACACCTGCTTAAGGGAGAGTAGAATGGAAATCTGGAATAATTAAATGCAGAAATTATTTATTATGTTATTCAATTCAATTATACCAATCATATTAATGTCCAACATGATTACTTCATATTTCTCTTTGTACAGTATAGCTATGGTTCTCTAAAGCACTGTCTTTCACACTTATTAGCTTATTTGATTTTCTCAACTTAGTGAGGTATATAGTGCAGATAATTTATTTCCAATTTATAACTGAGTAAACCAAAGCCATGAGAGAGGTTAATTGACTTGCAAATTTTACAGCATAAGATGTAGAGTTGTAGGATCTAGGCTTGGGGAGTTGTGACCCACTGTTCACAGTGGTTCTCAAAAAAGATCATGCCTCAGAACCACCTGATAAATGCAATCTCTTATTAATAAAGATTAGTCCACATAATTTCTGATTCAGTAGGTTTGTGGTGGGGTCTAGAAGTTCTATTTTTAGCAACTTCTCAAGGCAGGCTGATGATGCTGGTTCAGGAACTTCACTGTGAAAATAACTTAGTTATTCCATATCATCTTTCCACTGAATTAAAGTATTTAGAAAGTCTGACTTATCTGATGTTTATTTTTCACATTAGGCAAGCTTCTTAAAATAACTAAACTATTTGGCAGATGAAAGCAGACTCTTTTAGATGTCATAGTAACTTGTCATTAGTAAGAAAATACTTAACAGAGATAACTTTCTGGCTACAAATAAAAACATCTGATTTACTCTTAGTAGCTATTCCAAACCAAATAAAAAAATTAAAAGTCTAAAGAAGCCAGTATGTACTAAGTCAATACATGTTTTCATTATAACTCCCATCTGTTCTTGTCCTTAGACATTAACCTCAATCATGTAAGACTACATACACACCAAAACTTGCAATGTTGAAATACTTACATTTTCTGTGGTTCCAGTAATTACATGGAGGCCATCATATGTTGATTTAATATACATACCCTAAGAAAAAGACATCATTAGAAAAAACTGCAGCAATTATATATTTTCAAATGTATTATAACCTTATTTTAAAAATTCATGACTTAACAATACTCTTACTATTTGAATTTTCTGCTTTCTAAAATTTATCCAAAGAAGGCTATACTCAATCCAATGACTATTTGATAAGGGAACTGCCTATGAGACTTATGAAATACAGCATGGTAAGTCAAATCTCTGAAGAAAGGACTCACCTCACTTCCCTCAAAATCTATAGTATACTCTGTGGCATATAAAATTTACCACAGAAAAGTCAAATATTGGTAAGTCATTAGCCTATTATACTTGATATAATTACATAATAAAAAGTAAGTTTCTAGGAGAAACTGGAGCCAGAAGAACAGTAAAATCTTACTTACATGAAATTTGCTCTCCCACTATTTTGTCCTATCCTATATTTCCTCATTTATTTCTTATTGACAATGTTTCAATAATTATATCGTCATCTTTACAATAACAAATAATAGGTAATGTGTGGCAATCTCTTCTCCCAAGAGCAAGAGTCCATTTCCCATTTAAATAAAGTCACTTTATGAAAAGCTTCATTAAAGTTTAAAAGTTGTCCAGATACTCTGAAATTGGGTAAGCTTTGAGAGTAAATTAAAAACATCATGCTATGGATAGCAATGAGATTTTAAAGGGCAAAAACCACAATAAAAGATTCATATTTTAAATATTAAATAATTTAAGTAAATCAGAAAAACAGATGATAAATTAAATGACTTCTCCACTTTAAGAAAATTCCATTACTTTAAATTCTACTTTGAGGGATAAATGATCTGAATTTTACTTACAATATTGCTTTGCATTTCAAAGTACTGATTTCATAAATAAAAAGCACTACTTTAAATTAACTTCAAATCCAAAATATGAAATTTAACAATAACTGATAATATCTTCACAGAAAATAAAACATTTTATCATTTATGTAAAGGAAAAAATTCCTAAGTTTCCATATTTTCATGTTAATTATATTTAGGTACCTGCACATACAATGTGTTTTCATTGAATGTTAAAAAAAAGCAATAAAGTTCATAGTATGGAACTACTGAGAAATCACTGGGTAGGTGTTAATGCTAAAAAGTCATTTTAATCATGTCATATATCTAAAATGATATTAGTTCCCTTATGCTGGTGACAGTATATAAGATACTTTTGAATTTAATATTTATCCTTGTATTTATTAGAAGGTAGATGAAATGATATTATAAAACTAAGAAGGGGACAAGATCCATGCTAATATCTTTCCTCAAGTAATTAATAATAATACATTAAATTTTAAAGGACACTACATTTTAAGTTTTTTGCATAGAAGGATTGAAAGAAAAAAGCAGTGAAACAATATATATATTGCTTGAATACACTAAATAATCATTATTCATCATTGCCAAAGATGTCTACTCTCCACAAGTGCCAGTGACTATATTAAATGTCTTTCATTTATTTTACAATAGCTATGTGGTAAAAATATCATTACCTCTGTTTTAGAGATAAAGAAACTGAGGTATGGGAAAGCTGGAGTCTGTCCAAGGTGGCAAAACCAGGTCATAAGTCTGGCAATCTGATTCCAGAGTCCAGACTCTCAAGAGTTGGACTTAGCCTTTTGATTTGTAGATTTATTAAGAGTTAGGAGAATTCGCTTTTTTTCATTAGAGCATAAAACTTGACAGTCACAGATATTAAAGTCAAATGCTCTGTTTAACTTATTTATATATAT